CTCCAGCCTCCACATCAAAGCTCCTGAAAGCAAAGAAGGTCAAGGTGCTCCAGGATTGGCCAGCCCAGTCACCAGACATGAACATTATTAAGCATGTCTGGGGTAAGATGGAGGAAGAGGCATTGAAGATGAATCAAAGAATCTTGATGAACTCTGGGAGTCCTGCAGGAACACTTTCTTTGCCATTCCAGATGACTTTATTAATAAGTGATTTGAGTCACAGCAGAGATGTATGGATGCAGTCCTCCAAGCTCATGATGGAGTCAGACACAATATTCATTGTGTTTCCACTGCAGCATGACTTTATATTCTATACTGGACATTATTTCTGTTCAGTGACAAGACGTTTGTCTAAGCAAAGTCAGACTTTACTGTCCTAATTAAACAATTAAAAATCAAGACATGATCATATTTTATTTTGGTAAAAAAAGCGTAATCTAGAGGTTTTTGCCTTTCTTATAAGCCACTTCTGATATCAAATAAACAACTAGAAGTCAAGTTATTATTTGTTGTTCCTAAAACTTGAATAAGCGACAAGACTTTAGTCAGGTAGTGTAGTTGCTGGAGTCTGTTCTGGACCTCTGTTTGCAGATAAGTGTGGCGTTGTGTGACCTTCCTTGCTCCAGCTGATCTTTATCCAATCAAACGCAGGTTTAAGACTCAGCGGCGATTAGTCTGCAGGGACTGAACTCTAATCCACCTCCTGCTGAGCTCAAACTCTCACGGAAATCAGTCCTTTGTATGCTAATGAAATGACCTAAGACGCAAAGCATTCCTGTAGTTTATTACTGTGTTTGACATGGTCAATATAGGGCTACGTGAGAAGCTGGAATCAGCTTTGTCAAGAATAATTTTGAGACCTGTAGAAAAGCAGACACCTGGTTAAGTTTACTAGGATTTGGGGAAAAGTTAAATACAAAAAATGATAAATAAATGAATCGTATTACAGAAGTGTGTAAAAATAAATAAATATGCAGTACAAAATACTAGGTGAAAGCCTCAAGATGTTAATGCCAACTTTATTATTCAATTTGATATATTGTTAATATATTATTCAGTTATTTATATACTATTCCATATTATTCAATACTATATATGATTTGATGTTATTAAAATCAAACTAAAATACAAAATAATGTAATGAAACCAACAAAATGATTTTTTATATAAAAGTAAAACACAATACTGTCATGGATTTCAACAAAAAATATATTTTAAAAAATCAACATTTAAAATCCTAATAAAAATAGTAATAAAATATAACCGTATATAAATAGTACTGAAAGGACCTCAATCAAAGAATTATTTATTTTAAATAATTGCAATGAAACCTAACGGTAAACACAACTTCTCGGAAAAATTGCTTTATACTAATGTTTTATTTATTTTAATGAAAAATAATTAAATATAACTCTTTGAAAAAAAAAACAAATTAATGAATAATATAAATAATAAATAAATAAATAAATTATTAAAATAAGCTAAATAATAATAATAATAATAATAATAATAATAAATAAATAAATGAATAAAAAAATAAAACATTAATGATAATAATAATATAATAAATAATAATAATTATAACAGTAACAATAATAATAATAATAATAATTAAATAATGAATATAAATGAATAAAACAAAATAAATATAGCAAAACAAACATGATATTATTATTATTATTATTATTATTATTATTATTATTAATAATAACAACAACAATAAAAATTAATGAGGAAAACAAAATAAAGAAAACTAAACAATAATTCTATTATTGATAATAATAATAATAATAAATTAATTCATAAAAGGGGATGCGGTGGCGCAGTAGGTTGTGCTGTCACCTCACAACAAGAAGGTTGCTGGTTCGAGCCTTGGCAGGGTCAGTTGGCGTTTCTGTGTGGAGTTTGCATGTTCTCCCTGCGTTCATGTGGGTCTCCTCCGGGGGCTCCGGTTTCCCCCACAGTCCCAAAAGAATTGGTGCAGGAGAATTGGGTAGCCTAATTTGTCCGTAGTGTATGAGTGTGAATGAGTGTGTATGGATATTTCCCCGATACGGGTTACAGCTAGAAGGGCATCCGCTGTTTAAAAAACATATGCTGGATAAGTATAAAATGATAGATCCGTCAGTATGATAGATCATGGCTTTATTTAGGATTCGAACCTGCAACCTTCTGCTTAACCACCTTTGAGCTTTAACCACATCACTTCATGATCGTCATCATCAGGCCTGGAGGCTGATTGTGTGTGCGACTGACACATTTCAACACAGAAACACTGCACAAAACTGCTCTCCATTACAAGAGTGATGTGACACTGTTAGAACTGATAGCTTTCAGCCTTAAGGAACTTTTCCCAAGGACAGAAACAAGCAGTTTTGCTGCTACCAAGTCACACGTACAGAGAGACAGAGAGAGAGAGAGAGAGATGGCGAAGGGGGAAATATATGCTAATGTAATGGAGCGCAGTCATTTGAAAGGAAATGGGTCTGAATGAGCAGCCCGAGGGAACCACAGCACAAAGTTCAACCCTGAAAAATGTATTTCATTTCATTGAAATAGTCCACTCTTCTGAATACGAGCCGGGAGACGCAGGAGGGCTGAGGGGGGACTTTATTTTAGGAGAAACATATCAAAACAAGATGTAGATCTTGAGATAAGTCAAAATGTATGACTTTATAAGCAGGGAAAAGTTTGCACGAGTTGCTCTGATGTCTCATTTGTAGGTGTTTTACAGGTCTGAGCTGCACAAAGATATGCTTTGATGTGGATCTGGGTGGATTTCAGTCAGGCCGAAAGGTCTAAATCTACTTAAACTGCACTTTTTAACCACATCCTGGTAACAGTGAAAAAATAGAGCAATTCACTGAATGAATACTATAGAGAATAACTATGGTACATCTACAGAAAACATCAAAATAAGCATGATGTATATTTAAAAGAGTAAAATCACAGGACATTTGGGATCTATCTAAAACATATGTAATAAATATGTTCAGATTCATTCATTCATTTTCTTTTCTGTGGAATGAACCGCCAACTATTCTTGCTTATTTACGCAGCGGATGCCTTTCCAACTGCAACCCATCACTGGGAAACATGCATACACAATCATTCACACACATAGACTACCCAATTCACCTTTCCCACATGTTTTTGGACTGTGGGGGAAACCGGAGCACCTGAATGAAACCCAAGCCAACACAGGGAGAACATGCAAACTCCACACAGAAACACCAACTGACCCAGCTGAGGCTCGAACCAGCGACCTTATTGCTGTGAGCCGATTGTGCTACCCACTACTTCACCGTGCTGCCCATGTTCAAATATTTGAATTAATTTAAATATAATGTCATTTTAAATATATGTATATATGTTTTAGCTATCAAGATGCAGTTTAACTCAATGTTTAAGTAACTATATAAATAAGAATAAATAAGAAAACTTTATTATGACAATGTTGCGCTAATGTCTGTTTCTGGATAATAGAAGCACATTTTGTTTGGATTATTTTGATTTTTTGGGTCTTTAAGATACAAAAATGTCTAATGTAATCAAATAAATACTCATCAAAACAAAAGTTATTTTAAAGAACATTGTGTTCTAAATATTATTAAATTAAAATATTCTATATATATAGAATATAAAATATAATATAAAATATAATATAAAATATATATATATATATATATATATATATATATATATATATATATATATATATATATATATATATATATATATACATACATACAGTTACATACATTTTTTTTCTTTTTCAAAAAGATCATTTTCCAAATGATGTTTAACAGAGGAAGAAAATTTTCACAATATGTCTGATATTAATTGTTCAGTTTAAGCTGTATAGAAGTGTCTTGAAAAATATCTAGTCAAATATTATTTGCTGTTATCATGGCATACATATAGTAGTAGTGCGATATGAGTGCTACGAGTGTGATATTGCGTTTATACAACAGTTTGACGGCATAATTGTGTATATAAAAATATAATCAAACATGTAAAGCCTCAAAAACCCTTTTGTATAAGGAACTACTTTCCTATGCGTTGGATTCAAATCATAAGCTGATAGTTAAACAGTTGAGCGTGCATCTTTTAAACTTTAGATCTGTAGTGTCTGCTTTTTGCTGGCTATATGTGGGCGAAGTAATACACAAAGGTTAAAGAGGCTGTACGGGTGCTAATATTACTTAAATATATCAAGGATATATAGCCAATCAGATTCAAGAACCAGACAGGACTGTTGTATAAAAAAAAAAAAATATATATATATATATATATATTTTTTATACAACAGTCCTGTCTGGTTCTTGAATCTTATTGGCTATATATCCTTGATATATATATATATATATATATATATTAGTTCACCACAGACTTGAAGTTAACACAAGTAAAAATAAATAAAAATTATATACACATCAGATGTTACAAAAAACATAAGAATCCTTGCTACTTTTACAATCATAAATTGCTTCTCGAGAAACATGTCAACTTTAAAAATTTTAAAATAATACCCAGGATGAAGTTTAATTCACAAATATGCCTTCAAGTATCCTTTAACATGACCCCAAACCACATTCCTCTAAACTGTGAGCACTTCATCATAACAACTGCCAAACTCCAGCCGCCTCATATCAGAGTATGTTTCTAGACGTCAATGATTGAGGCACTTAAGGGTCCGGGATGTGAGCCAGGAATCAGGATAGCATTCCCAGCTTCCTGCCTGGATCCCGATCCTCTGGGAGCAGATCAGGTGAATATTCCGGGATGAGGAAAGCTCTCGGAAGGCAAACACTCAAGATTTAATTAGCGGGATGAAAGAGGATTAGACTGAATGTGTGTGTGTGTGGGAAGGGAAGTCCCTCCACCTTTTTCCGTCTTGTTTTGTTGACTCTACGGATCCAGCAGTGCCACATATGTCCAGCATATGGTACAAAAACACACAAATCTCAGCGGTAAAACACACACAAACGCTGGTTTACCTGGGCACAGAGGTGTACAGGCGATCTGCGTCATTGTATCTGGGAGCTGTTCTAGAATCAGGCCCTCTGATCTGTGGAGAAACAGAGAAAACCAATCAGATTAGGACTTGCAATCTGATAATGGGACATTTTGATGCGGCTTTAAAGACATATTTTAATAATATATTATATTAATATTGAAAATAACAAATTTGCATGGGAAAAAAGACACAATATGTGAATGGCCCGCTGCTAAAGTCCAGTGTGCGTGCGTAACAGCCTTCCCATGCGGAAGGTTGCCGTTTCTATCCCAGCTCTGAGCAGGTTGGGTGGTGTTGGACCGGCGGGGTTACATAAGCTCAGAAGTTTAAACTAGCGCACAGGTGGCATAACTTTGTTTAGTTGCAGCAGTTTCATTACGTTTAACAGAAACGTAGCGTTAAGAATCCCTTAAGCTTAATTATCCAAATGTTTCGGCTGCTCACGCCACTCACTTACTGTCAGGTGATGACTCACGCTCTGCGCAGCCTTCAACTCCAGCTCGAGCTGTATTGAACAGACGCAAGTCACTTCATAACTATAGCGGCCGTTTTTCGACTGAACTAAATTTATTTTTGATGTCTTGGTCATACTATTTGGAGAGTCGGAACAAATTGCTTTGCAGGCCGCCAATTGAATAGCCCTGCTCTATGGTTTCGCTACATATGGAGAGCGTCACATCACCTTCCTACATTTGTCGCAAATTAGGTGACAGAAAACAGAGGAGCTTGGCCGGACGCACCCGGCCCGAACCAATCGAGGAAAATAAATATATTTATGCTTTTCTGCAAACACTTTGGACAACGCTTGAAGAAAATTTAAGAGCTTGTAAAAAAGTGATTACGACTTTTTAATACCTTCTAAGGGCCTTAAAATCTTAATTAACTGATTTATCAACTTTTAATACTTTTTAAGACCCTGCGGACACCCTGGTGTCCGCAGTATCAACAACACTTTGATTATTCAGTAAAGTTTTAAAATAGAGTGATAAAAGTAATTTATTGTTGTTATTATTATTATTATTTTGTTATTTTTTACTATTTTTTTTACTAGTTTTTATTTTATTTAATTCAATTTTACTTTAATTTTATTTTTATTTATTTTTTTACTTTCTTTTTTATTTTACAAAACGGATGTCTGAAAGAGACATTCACACATTATTTGATTGTAATGACCCTAAAACTTTATTAAAACTACTAAAATGCAAGGAACATGTTATCGTGCAAAGAGGGAAATAATACATTTAAGGTTTTTGAGGACCAACTATTTATTTAAAAATAATAAAAAATCTATGCAAAACATCACATTTATCTGTTTTTCTTTTTAACTGACTAGCAGTGCATTCCTCAATTTGAACATTTCTTGCATTTTAAGCAATGGAAAAGTGTTTGGAAAGAAATCTGCATCAACACAACATCAACAGGTTTGAATGAAGCATAATATATAACCTTTGCTCGCTGTAGTGAGATCTGATCTATGAAGGAGAAAGAAAGAGAATCTGCGGCGGTATAAATGCTTCATCTGTGACAATAGCCATGACTGATCACCTGTATGGCACAAACAGACGCAGGAAGGAATGAAAGAAGCCCAGGAAAGCCGGCAATTGTATATCGTTGTGATCATTTGGCGCGTGCGGCGGTCTATCATTCCCACAATCATCTCTCGCTTCTCCAAATGTGACCTTTTCTAACGTGCGCGCGTCGCCATCGCTCTCTCTGACATTCGATCCCTGCGAGACACCTTTGTGTTTAAAGATCACACTTAGCATGCAGGGTAGCGCTCAGGGCCGCCATTACACGCGGGAGGACGTGCACTTATAAACGCCTCATTGAGACAAATGCCACCATTTTCCCTCACACAGTCCCCAGAAATGAGCTGCCCTTCTTTACATAATGCCTCTAACCTTCATCTGTCAGGATCTGCCACACGCAGACTCCCACAATCCCTCTGCACGCTGACATACTGCTGACAAACCGGGATTTTACAGAGTTGGATATAGCAGAATTTGTTTATCATTCATGTAATCCAAAAACTAATCCCTACCCCAAACCCTAACCCTAAAGACCTTTGATGCATATTAATTAATTATTCATTCATTCATTCTCCTTCAGCTTAGTCCCTTAATTATCAGGGGTCGCCACAGTGGAATGAACCATCCCCTGCTGGTCTCACTAACACCTCTTCCGGCAGCAGCCTAGCTTTTCTATGTGGTCTCCCATCCAGGCACAGCCCTGGCTTAGCTTCAGTGGGCGACATGTGAGAGTTGCAGAGAGCTAGCTGTCGGTAATTGAATATTGAATATACACAAGCAATACACATACAATACATATGCAAAATATTCAATATTTGCAATATTGCAACATCGCTGTGGAAACACTCATCTTGAGTTTTTGGGGGTATTCAGGATGTATTTTATTAATTCTAATAAGTTATAATGAATGAATGAATAATGTCACCTCACTCTGCCCTTTTGATTATTATTAAATACTTCACTGTTTACTGTTTAGCTTGGGGCGTAGGAAAAAATAGTGGATACGGAGTTCCTAAAATATGGGAAATAATTAGCGAATAATGACGTAGTAGCTCCAAATCATGATTATAAGCCTAAACAAAGTATAAACGTGTTCCTCAAATCTGATTGGCTGATTGGAATGTTGATGCAGGATCAACAAAGATAAACCGATCCGTGAGGGATGAGTCTAACGCTGCTTATGTTGCTTATACAAGCCTTGGAATAGCTGCATAAGGAAGAAAAATGAGCTTTAATTGTTTATTATAATTATAACAAAGCCATACGAGGTAATAATGGGAAAAAAGCCATGCTTGCAGAAATAAAATATTTGTCTTGCTGGTTGTTTTTTTATTCATCTGCAATGAATTGAGGTTAACAGCTCAGACGGACTGTAATTATAGCATTAAACGGAGCAGTTATTTAATTTATAAATCCCGCAATGATTCAAAGATTTTTTTAAATATGTTACATCTAGTTTCCCTCTTTCCATTTTGACATGCTCTTCATATTTTAATAGTTTTAATAAACATTTTGGTTTATTGTGTTCAAATTTTGTGAATGTTGGTTGACAAATACGTTAAAATCTATGTTTCCCTCTTTATAATATAACAGGTCATTACAATCAAATATTGTGTGAATGTCTTCTTCAGACATCAGTTTGTAAAATAAAATAAAATAAAATAACTGTTAAATTAATGAAATAATAATCAGTCTGCTTTAAATACTAGTGTAGTTTTATACATAAGAATTTCAAAAATGTTATTCTGAATAACACAATATTTATAAGTCTTATTTCTTGCATTCAATTGCACTGAATATTCAACAACAAGACAACAACAAACAGACACCAAACATTCTAAAGGCAATTCAGAAAGTACAGAAAGTCCCATAATGAGCTGCATTTTGCCTTTACCCCTAAATCATTTTGTTAGATAATTTGTTAGTTAATTAGTTGTCGTTGATCTAGTTTTCCTCGATTTCGATATCAACATGTTCTTCATTTTTAATGATTCAATTATTCAAATGATATGTTTACAGTATCCAGTAAATGATTAACTGATTTAAATTATCCATCAAGAGTGAATCTCCAGTAAATTACTCACTGATTAAAATGATCTGTTCAGGGCAATTTCAAATAAATGATTCAAATGATCCGTTTAGACTGAATCTCGACTCATTGACTGAAATAACCTTTTCAGAGTGAGTCCAAGTAAACCATTCTCTGATTAAAATGATGTTCACAGTGAGTTTCCAGTAAATGATTCACTGATTTAAACTATCCCACAAGAGTGAATCTCGAGTAAATTACTCACTGATTCAAATGATCTGTTCACAGTGAGTTTCCAGTAAACGATTCACTGATTTAAACTATCCCACAAGAGTGAATCTCGAGTAAATTACTCACTGATTAAAACGATCTGTTCTGGGTAATTTCAAATAAATGATTCAATTGATCCGTTTAGACTGAATTTCAACTCACTGACTGAAACAACCTGTTCAGAGTGAGTCCAAGTAAATCATTCTCTGATTCAAATGATCTGTTCACAGTGAGTTTCCAGTAAACGGTTCACTGATTCAAACTATCCCACAAGAGTGAATCTCGAGTAAATTACTCACAGATTAAAATGATATCTTCAGAGCGAGTTCAAGATTCAAGTGACCTGTTCTGAATCGGTCATAAGTAAATGATTCAATAATTCAAATGATCTGTTCACAGTGAGTTTCCAGTAAATGATTCACTGATTTAAACTATCCCACAAGAGTGAATCTCGAGTAAATTACTCACTGATTAAAATGATCTGTTCCTTGTTGCATTGTAACTATTTAAGTAATGAGTAATAATAATTAATTTACATGTACTTACAATATGGTTCAAGTTAAAGAATTTGGGTTTATTTTAGGGATATTTCTATGTAATTTCTATTTTAATCAAACCTGCATTTTAATGTAACCCGTGTAACAAGGAAACCTTAAAAGAGAGTGTTACCCAATACAGAAAGAAAGAAACGTCTATTCTTTAAGCATTAAAAATCGTCAGACATCAGCGCAAAAAAACGCTGCCACAAGGCCGGTTATTACAAAACACCCGAGACTCCAGCAACTTCAGATCTCCAACATTAGCCACGTGCTTCTCTTCACTGGCCACAGATGTTATCTTGGGCACAGGCGATTGATCTTCACTGGGTAATTAGCATTTTAGGCAGTAAGGACAAGACATGGGCCTGCTGCCAGACGCAGAGAGAGAGAATTTGAAACTTTGCCACGGCAGGCTTGGTGGTCCGTGTGAGTTTTAGCCTTTTGGGTCAGAAATGATCAACAAAACCTGCTCAACCTCAGCAAAGGGGGGGACACCGGAGCACCATGACAACCAGACTGCCAAGAGTAGCTGTGGTGCTGTAATCAGATCAAAACGGCAGATGAAGGACTCAAACACTGAGAATGTGCATGTTTTGCTGGAGAACTGGACTGAGACGGCAAACACTCGCCACAACAAACATGCAAACATTTACAAATAGGCAAACGGCACTCATGCGTGCAGAT